GTTTTCTTTATATATTTCTGTTTTACCCTTTCAAGAAAGGAATACTTCAGTTTAAAGGAATGCGGAACAAAATGATAAATCTTCCTACTCCCATAAGAAATTTTTGGAACTTTTTCCTTAGCTCTAAGTTGTGTCTTCAATTTTGTGTCATTTTAGTGCCTGTGATTTTGTAATTTTTGAAATATACATTATGCTTTACATCTCCCTAGCCATCCATCTTAGGTCGCAATCACAGGTTAGAAAGAGATAAGTCTTTAATCTTTGACTTCAGTCTAGGAAATGGAATTCGTTAAATTTCAGTACGTTAGTTTCCTAAATAATCTCCGTATTAGACAGTCTTTTCACATGGTTCAAGCCAATAAAAGGGAGAAAAACGGAATTCGTTGAAGCTTCATACTTTCATTATTCACTTTTGCAGATGAATTAAATTTTGGATCGACTGATGTTTTACATTTTCTTATTATGTATTTAATATTCTCAGAGGTATTGAAAAGTGTTTTTAGCCCAATCTTTCAAAATTTAATAAAAATTATATTATTTCGAGCGTTAAATTTATAATAAAAGTAAAGTTTTCCCTTTCATTAAAGCTATTACTAAATAATGGTTCTCTCCCTGGAAGCTAATTTAAACTTGGAAATTTTTCTTTTCCCAAAGTGGCATACAATAAAAGATCAAATGTGGACGCCACATTACTTCCTTATACGGCATATTAAATTGCCCTCATTATTTGCTACATTTCGTTTAAACGTATTTCCTCGAATTTTATTAGAGATATACGTATTTCTCATTCAATTAATTCAGTTCTCACTTAGTGGCAAGGCAAAAAAAACATAAAATCTCAAAACAACTTCATTAGAAATGTAGAATATAATAAAACTTAAAACACCAAATACAGTTGTAAACAATTAAGAAACAGTTTTTTTCAATAAAACTTAGTTTCAACGCAAAAACATGTATTTCCGCTAGCGGGAAGGAAGATAGATTTTTCTGTTCACAAACCTGAAAATTTATTTTTCTGCCCGTTCTTAAAAAAAAAAAAAAAAAAAAAAACCCACTGAAGTTGGTGCACAAACTGGCTTAATTCACTATTCTGCTAGGAGTTTCAAATGTTAACAAATGGCGGCTTCTATAGGTTAAGTACCACATACACAAAAAATGCTGATAATTTTACAACTATTGCATGCACATTAAGTAAAGACATAAAAAGTTTATCCGGAAAATAATAACGACATAACTCAAACACTTTAATGCAAAAAATGCACAGTTTGCCAACATATAACATTAAAAACAGAGCTCATGGAGCCGAGTAACAGAGTGGGTATATGTATATATATATATTCTTACACTTGTATACATTTGGTGTGGCCGATAACAACAAAAATGGGAGGTTTACAACTGCATAGGTGAACAACTACATATTATAGCAGTCCCATACGCAAAATTTCAGAGTTCTGAGGATATTCGTTTTTGAGTTATGAGAGCTACATATATACGTACATACAGATGTCACTGAAAGAAACTCTTCGAAATCCATTTTAAATTTGGTTTATGACCCGTCTTCGAAAAAAGAGTCCTTTTTCCTGTCCGTACGTACAGATGTCACGCAAAAAGATCTTTTAAATGGATTCGAGAGCAGTCAAAATTAATAGTTTCGTTGAAACTATCCATTTTGTTAGTCCGCCAATGATGATTCTTCACCACCAGGATTTGGCGATTGGGTCCCCTAATCCTCAGTCTCCCTTTAAAAGGAAGAGTATATAAGGTGTTTTTTCCTCCTTTACTGCGTGCCTTCGTGGCCTAACGGCAGAATATTCAGTGCATATTTGAGAGATCCAGGCTCGAGTCCGGAAGAGAGCATTGTACATTTTCCAAACTTCAAATTCCTACTTCAGAAATTCTAATGACTTTACAATATTACATATCTCTGAACATAAATTCTAAACGCACTTAAATATGAAAACACTAGAATGTATTCTAACACTACTAGAAATAAAACTATTCTCTCTTCGAAGAGTTTATAGCCATTGAATCATTACTTACAAACAAAATATGTCGTTGACGTAAAAGTATGTAAATAGTCTTATACATGATACATTATTTCGATATATCAAATGACATTTTTATCGCATTATATCAATGTGTCTATTATTTTAATTGCTCTCATGAACAGACAATAAAAAATTATTACAAACTACACCACAACTGTGTAATAAGTGTTATCTCAGAGCAGTTCGGAATGTTGATTAGAATGCATGTAGAAAGAAAGAAATCAGTTGATTTCAGGAAATGGCATTATTCCATGTCTTTTCGAAAATACTTCGAATATGCGTTTGGAAACTTAATACCTCTTGTCCCCCAAAAATTATCGAAATTATTTATACTGCTGAGTTTTTTAGAATTGCATAACAACAATATAATTTATATTGATGATTAATGAGACATTTTTTTGGAAGAAGTGAGAATATGTCCTGAAGCCCGACAGTCACGTGATATAAAAGTAATGAAAGGAATGTGGCTGTATTCGTTAGACTCTCATATCAAGTAAGAAAGGAGCTTCGAATTGCAACCTGTTTAAACTACCAAAGTTTGTTTTTGAGGGAATTGAGTCATAATGGAAGCTTAACATAAACGTGCTTGTGTATTATAGGATGAGAAATTTGGCCCTCTGGAAAAACAAATATGTATTTGTAGCACATGCAAATTTGATTTTATTTTCCTCTGAAATGTGTGCAATTTAATTGCTGGAAAATGATAGAGATATCCACCCAGTGACCATGTAGCCTCTACACACTCACTTGTTAATCATTATTTGTGAGCCATTTTGGGGAAGCCATATTCGTCACTGAAGCCTACACTGAACATTCATCATTCAAAGTAAAATTTCCACCGCGAAACCAAAGATAGAATTTACGAAGATGACTTACTCTTCATCGAAAATTTTATAATTATGTACCAGATTCGACCCAGAAAATTTCATAAATTATTAATAAAAGTGGACCCTCAAATAACATTAAATTTTTTCTGTAGTAAGAATTTTGTGGGGAAAAAGACCCGCAAAATTAGTTTTTAATTATGAATTTAAACTGATTTAAAGCTAATACCAAAACTTTAACTGACTCCTTTGGGAAAATGGGCAGTAGTAGTACGAACGCATGAATTAACGTACAAACGCATAACTTATAAAAAAAAAAAATATTTATCTTTATTTTAATATTTTGGAGCAATGCTTGTAATTAGCCAGTTTCTCATGAAGTATATTTTCATTAATCCCTTATTTTTGTTTTAAGTTTCCACGTTATTAAAGTATGCTAAAAGAATAAGCTAAGGAATATGCTTCTCACACATATATATATATATATATATATACAGACGGAATAAAAAAAGCTTTTCAAGGTTTATACTGGCAAAATGCAGCACGCAGCTGTAGATCGGGATTAAGGGATTAGGAGTTCCCTCACCTTCCAAGAAAGTGATCATTACCAAAGCTATTACGGCATTTTTTTCGTTGAAGAACTTAAGAAAATGCCTAGAAGTTTCGAAAAGTACTAGTAAATTCATTTACTGAAAGAAGAAATGAAACTATTAATGCTATCGAGTGAATTCTCTGGAAAGAATATATAGTATACAAGAATACTAAAAGCAAGTAGGAGTACTATAATAAAGAAGGCTGGATATTTCAGATATGTATTATTTCTTGATGAAGTCAGTCTTATACTCTATGATGCATATATAACTAAAATGCACATTAATGCTACAATTATATGCGACATGAAAACTGCGTTTAAAAACAAAAAAAAAATGTTTTGTGTTAACGAGTATAAAATTAAAAATTATTTAAAAAATGCTGAGAAAATGAAGCGAAGTTCCGTCTGTCGTTTGTAGAGAAATAACTAACGAGAAATTTGTGGTCTCAGTTTTAATTACCAATTTTTTAATTTCCAATTAAGATGATAAAATAAAATTATATACCTTATGTGTTTGTAATGAATAGGGAGTTAAACTTTTAATTTTATTTACAAATTTGTAAATAGAAAATTTTACAAAATGAACGATAATTCAGTTTGTTTGTTAAGAGTTAATTCTGGAAATTCTTCCTTTTACATTTAATTTTGTGAAGTTTTATAAAGAACCGGAAATATGTAAGCAATTTATTTAAATTTCATGGGAACACTATCGGCTGGCCAATGGTAAAGTTGCAAGGCATTTTCTCCCTCTTTCCGCAGGAGTAGTAACCGGAGGTAACCGTGCTACGGAAGTGACGTCACAGAAAAGGGGCGTGGTCGCCGCCATCTTGAATCACGTGACAACCGGAAATGACGTAGATGGAAGGAATGACGTAGACGGAATGACATCCTCAAAGTTTCGTTTTGATTCTGTGGCAACGATTTTATGTCTCAAAGTTTTTATTTTTTGTGGCATCGACACTATTTTTTAGGTTTTGTGGCAACGAACTTCAAGAGTGTGTGGAATGACATCACTTTTAATTAATTATTTTTAATTATTTGACATGTGATTAATATTATTTTGTTATTTGATTAATTTTTAATACGTCATTAATTTTAACTTTTTAATTATTAACTATTATTTTTAACTATTTAGTACATCATTATTTTACTTATTACCTTTAATGAATTTTTGTGGAAATTAATATTATTTTCCCTGAATTTTAAAAGTAACTCCGCGGCTGAGATTCGAACTCGCTATCTCTGGGATGGGAGTCTAGCGCTTTACCGCTCGGCTAAGCCCTTCATGTTATCAAACCTGTTATTTTTGCGTTTGGAGCGAAAATCACCATGACGTCATAGGCTGGGGGGGAACAGGTAAACGTCATCTCTTTCACGTTGCAGTCTGTCGAAACCGCTTCACGCTTTCTGCATCCGCCGTGGCGAACGTATACAATCTTAACAACCAATCAGCATTCCGCTAACAATATCTATCTTATTTCAGCCAAGCAGCGTGTTTGTTTCTTATATATCGCCTATAAATTCGCTAGCTTTGACGATTTCATCATTTCTACTCTGATTCTTGCTGAGTGAACGTCATTTTGATTCTGTCATTTTCCTGCGCCATTTCGTTTTCTTGTACACGATGTCTGCTAAACGAACTTATTCTGCATCTAATGTAAGTATTTTTTCGCTTGTACTTAATGTCTAGATTACTATTTTAAACACGAATTTTATTTCTTTTTGAATCTTTTATTTATTTAAATTTTTAATTGCCAGGTCCTGTTTGAAGATCCTGACTTTCCTTTTCGGGACTCAGATGACGATGTAAGTTTTTACACGTATTTTTAACGCACTTTTTTATTTAACGTATTTTATTACTATTTGAATGTATTTTAAACGTATTTTATTTTATTTTGATAGTTAATCGATGAAGTGGATCAGATTTTTCTGGAAAATCCTATGGATCTACCCTTGTATTATCAAGTGGGCTCCGGATTTGAGGTAAATATTTAAGTATATCTTTATTTAAGTATTTCAGCATTTTTAGATTTTATTAGAATATTTTTTCTCAGTATTAAAAATGCATTTATTTATTTTTAGACTTCTCCGTCATCAGCTCGTGGGTCTGTTTTTATGGCTGGTTCCGATGAACGTTCGGTGTGTATTTTTCTTTTTTGCATGATTTATTAAAATAATGTCTTTTTGAAAATGTTTCATTATTACTGAAACTTATTTTTATTTTTCAGATCGATGAGGCGATTGTGCTCGAAGAAAAGTCTCGTCGCCGAAACCATAAATATCAGGCCGAGGAGATTACCTTCCGAGCTAGTATAGATATGGAACGGCTGCCTCAGAACGTACAACGCATCCCGATGGTCCGAATTCCGGACACCGTCCGGGAACTGTTTGAGCAGCTCATTCGCCGAACGACAACTAATCTGGGTCCCTCGGACCTCATCCGATTTTGTATCCAAGCAGAAGGGCTGGATAAGCCGATAAGTACTTCCCTCATGACAGTTTCGACTTTAACAGTGGAAAAGATTCTGGCTGCCGTGATGAAAGTTATGCAGTCGAAAGACAAAATTGAGCTAGATTCAGGATTCGCGGTGGATGTCATCACCATCAGACGACCTGTGGGTGCCGGAGGAAATCGGAGAGTCATCAATATCTCCATAGACAGATTGAGAAAACAGTCTATTTTGTCTATTCCGTACGATGAGGAAGGACTGTGCTGTGCCAAAGCCATTGTGTATGCCCTCGCACATTTGAAAAAAGATACGAGTGCCATCAATGCCATGAGAAATCGCAGTCGGCCAGCTCTTGTGAACAGGGCCAAGGAACTCCATGTGGCCGCAAATGTGCCTCTAGGTCCCTGCACATTTACCGAAATTGCCAGATTTGAAGAGCACCTGGATACTCAAATTGCAGTCTTCTCATCGGAAAATTTGAATCAGGTAAGTCAGTTTTTCTCAAGATATTTCTGCTTATAAATATTAGCCTTAAATTACCTAAACTTTTTCTACATATTTATTTTAAAATCGTAATTTGATTTCACTTCTTTTTTATGTGACAAACTGTAAAATTTATTTTGGTAATGAATAGTTTTAAAATTTGAGATGCGCACATTATAGTTTATACATGTAGGCAATTTGTTTCCATGTTAAAAATATAATTTGACAAAATGCACAGTGAACTTTAAATTTTAAGATTAACTTTTATGCATACATATCATTCGTATACATGTTAAAAAATATAGCAGTTAAAAACTGATTTCTAAAATGTCCGATTTTTGAATGATTTTTAGAGAAAAATTTCTGCATGATGCATTTTTCATTTCATTTCCATGTTAAAAAATATAATTTGTCAAAATTTGAACGCATGGTGAATTTTTGACTTGCTCTAAATTTTAAGATTATATTTTATGCATATTCACGCATAGAATCCATGAATGTATGCAGTTCGCTTCGATGTTAAAAAATATACCTTGTAAAAATTAAATGCATAGTGAGATTTTAGTTTACATAAAATTGTTAGATTAATTTCTTATTTTATGTATGCAATTCGTTAAAAACTTTCACTTTTAAAAATTTTTTATTTTAGAATACTTTAACTTTTTAGATTTTATTTACATGTATGTACAAAGGCAATTTGTTTCTGTGTTAAAAATGTAGCAAAAAGTGAACATTTAGGCATATATTTCTGATCATTTAAATGTTAAAACTTTAACTTGTAAAACTGAATGCATGGCGAATTTTTTAGATTGCGTTAAATTTTATGCATGAATGCGGTTCTCTTCGATGTTAAAAATATGACTTGTAAAAAAAAAAAAATGCATGAAGAATTTTTTATTTTTAGATTCATTTTATGCATGCACACAATTCATTAAGATGTTAAAACTTTAAACTATAAAAAATGAATTCACGATGAAATTTTTTTTTTGTTTTACTTTAACATATATGCATGTAATTACTTTCGATGTTAAATGCATTAGGAATTTTTAGATCGCTTTATGTATGCAATTAAATGTTAAAAACTGGTTTTACTTTGATTTTTTTGGAATTCAAGAGAATTTTTTTTTTGTCTTGCTGTATCTTAGGTGGTGTACAAAGGAAGAGAGAGGGCACAACGGATCAATTTGTGGCTTCACGATGGACATTATGATGTCATTAAGTCCCTGAAAGGGTTTTTTTGGCAGCAAGCCATTATTGCACAGCATGTGAAAAGCCCTACCAAATGCCTGAGAAGAACATACGATGTGCCAATGCGTGTCCCTATATGCCTAAGGACCGATTGCTTTCCAGGCCAGCCCCAACGATGCCCAGGACTTGTGACCGTCTCTGCCGCTCCGATGCCTGTTATGCAGCACACAAAGCCCTCACTGGAAACCAAGAGTTTTCACTTTGCGATAGGGTAAGTGTTTTGAAAATATATCTATCTTAATGATCAAAGTTATTTATCATATAATTTTCTCAAATTGTTATGTTAAAAAAAATTATTGTCGTTACAGGTATACCAGTGCAGGGACTGCTGCCAAGTGATTCGGACGCCGAATGCCCTAAAGATCTGCATAAGTGCGGTACCACCAAATGTCCCGTTCTTGCGGCCAGTTTGTCGTGGCTGCTGAGCACCGTTGTTATTTGCGACGTGTTGCTCCGAAGAAGTCTGATGACAAGTTCATCTTTTTTGACTTTGAAACGGACCAGTCTTCGGGGGAGCATCTCGTAAATTTCGCGGTGGCTCAGTATGCCGACGGCACAGAAAAGGTGTTTCCGGGTTACGAAGCATGCCAAGATTTCTGCGCCTGGCTGTTCACCCCACAACACAAGGGCTTCACCGCCGTGGCACACAACATGAAAGGGTAAGTTAAAAATACCATAGTTTGCATGCTTTAGTTTTCATGGCTTTTTTTTTTCAATATATTCATAATTTTTTTTTTACTTACAGGTTTGACGGACAGTTCGTGATGGCCTGGCTCCTGGAGCAAGGCACAGCGCCGGAGGTGATCCCTAACGGGTCTATGATCATGAGTGTAAGACACCCCAGTCTGAACATTCGGGTCATAGACTCATTAAATTTTCTACCGATGGCGTTGTCCAAGCTCCCGGGCTGCTTCGGTCTCAGCGAGCTGAAGAAAGGATACTTCCCCCATCTTTTCAACGCGCGAGAAAACCAAAATTATGTCGGGCCGCTGCCGGAGATCCATTATTACAGCCCGGACACAATGAGTACTTCTGCCCGACAAGCTTTTCTAGCCTCGCACGACGCACACAAGGGGGACGTATTTGATTTCCAAGCAGAGATGTTGGCCTATTGCAGGTATATTTTTTCCTTTATTCTTGCTTTTATTTTATTTTATTTTTTTTGTTTTCGTATTTTTTAACTTTTTATGTATTAATAGATCGGACGTGGACATTCTTCGCCGCTGTTGCCTAGAGTTTCGAGCCCAATTTTTGGATGTGGCGGGTGTGGATCCATTCCAGTAAGTCATTTTCTTCATTCTCTTATACAATAATAATAATAATGTTTACAGTTCTTACAGAATATTCATGTTTAGTGGCTCATAAAGTTGTTCATTTTATCTTTTCAGATACGTGACCATTGGGTCGGCTTGTATGGCAACGTATCGGATTGGCCACATTCAGCCGGACACGATTGCCATGGTACCGACACACGGCTACATCAATCTGACCCATTACAGTCCTGATTCTATCCGGTGGTTGGATTTTGTGGCTTATTCGGAAGGACTAAAAATTCAACATGCTCTGAACGGTTCCGGAGAGCACAAAATCGCCGGAATCTCGGTAGACGGATTTCTGCCAAGAAACACAAACCGTCTATCAGTTTCAGGTGTAAGAAAAGTAAATATATTTCTATATGATTCTTTTTAATGATTTTACACTTTTAATGTTTAATTTACATGTGGAACACTATTAATATATTTGTATTATTTTAGGGCTGTTTCTTTCACGGATGTAGTTCGTGTTACGATGGTGATATCATTCATCCACTTGAAAGGGGTTTCCATGGCAACGTTGAGAGAGAAAAGACAGAAGAGACCACAAGAAAGCTTCGCACCCAGGGTTTGACAGTCATTGAAATGTGGGAGCACGAGTTTCAACGGCAGAATGAGGAAAATCTAGATCTCCAAGCTTTCCTGGATCAACACCATCTGAGGGACCGCCTCAATCCTCGCGAATCATTTTTCGGAGGACGGACCAATGCCCTCAAATTGTTCCACGAGGGAGACGCAAAATATGTGGATTTTACTTCACTCTATACATGGATTCGTACTTTTTGATTATTATTATCAAAAATGTTTGATTAAACTTTTCTGTAAATTTTATCTGTATATTTTTATGATGTGTTTTTTCTGACTTTTTGTTTTCATTCACAGGTGAACAAGTATTGCGTCTACCCTGTGGGACATCCAACAATCATCACGGAAAGCTTTAGGAGATATGGAAGATTACTTTGGACTTATCCAATGCCGTGTGATTCCTCCACGGAATCTGTATCTTCCGGTTTACTGCCCTATCGGTGCCGGAAGAAGCTGATGTTCCCCCTGTGTCGGACTTGCGCCCTTCTTCAACTGCAGACTCCGTGTACCCACACAGACGACGATTGCGAGCTCTTGTCGGAACGTGGGGTATCGGAGGAAGTCAAGCTGGCGAAAAAGAAAGGTTACCACTGCGTCACACATGTAAGTACTCAAAGATTATTTAAATCTTTGTCATAACCCAAATTTATTATTATTTAAAATCTTTTCTCATAACTTAAAATTTATTATTATTTAAAATCTTTTATTATAACTAAAAATTTATTATTATTTAAAAACTTTTGTCATAACTAAAATTTATTATTTTTAAAATTTTTGTCATTAAAATTTACTTTTTTTCTAGATTTACGAAGTGTACCATTTCCAGGCATCGTCTACTTCCTGTTCTGTTTCGATCATACATTGATCTGTTTTCTGAAGATCAAGCAGGAAAGTAGCGGATGGCCTTCGGAGTGTGTGACGTCGAAGAAGACAGACTGAAGTACATTCACCAGTATGAAGAAAAACAGGGCATCAGGTTGGACGCCGAAAAAATATCGAAAAACCCTGGGCGTCGACAAGTTGTCCCTGAACAGTTTCTATGGCAGGTAAGATGATTTCTTTTGTACTTAAATTTTTTTGTAAACTCTTTTATTTTTAATTCGTTTGTGATTTATGTTGGATTTTGTTTTTTCCTCTGATGGGGTATAAACGTAAACAAAGCTCAATTGACCTATGGCCACACGGTGGTGCCAGACTTCAATAAGATGTTGGCGGATCCTACTAAAAAAGTAAGTTTTCCTTACCGATTTTATTCATCTGTAAACTCAAAGTGTTTCAACTGTTAACTTATTGAACTATTTTGATTTTGACTGTTAACTCATGACTCTTCTATTTTTCAGATCAAAGATGTCTTTCTTCTTTCTTCCCACGCCTGAGGTGGCTGCCATTTCCTGGGAATCTGCGAAGGAGTTTGTGCCGCAGGATGCCTCTACCAACATTTTCCTAGCGACCACTTGCTGTCCTCGAATGGCCGCAATGATCCCCCTTGGGCAACTTCCAACTTCCTGGGTGAATTTACGGATGAACTGGAGGGTGATGTCATCAAAAACCTTTGTCTCTGGTAAGGACCTTTAAAAAGTTTCTTTATTTAACATGTACCAAAAATGTTGAAAGTTTTTTCTATTATCTCTTTTTTTTTTCTCATGATGTTTTATTTTTTCAGGAGGACCGAAAAACTACGCATACCAGACGGCCACTGGGAAAACCTGCTGCAAAGTCCGAGGATTTTCATTGAATTTCCGGAATTCTCAGTTGCTGAATTTTGAAGCCATTAAAAGTCTGGTCTGCAGCCTCGACCGAAGTGAGATCATCTCTCTCCACAACCCCTCCAAAATCACCCGAGAAGCGAAGAGAAGAAAGGTGATGAATAAACCCGAGACAAAACTGTACAGAATTGTGTTGGATAAACGGGTAATTCAAAAAGACTTGAGCACATTGCCGTATGGTCATTAGTATATTGAAGAAGAACTTTTTATGTTTATGTTAGAAC